CTTTTCTCTGAGGGATTCGAAGCGCACTAATCTGCATTCCTCCAGTCACTCTTTTAACTATGTAAACACAAATTCATAAGAGTATTGAAATCGACTGGGAACCAATTGTAAGTAACTGCAAATTTTTACAAAATGAGCACGGATGGAAATAGATTTACTGAAATGTCTAATTGCAATACATTTAACATGTAGACCAATTTATTAACTTACTAATGTTGCAACTGCACGATGTATCAAGCGCAACTAACTCGACATTACATATCCATCATGGTCCCGAGTTTGGGAAAATCGAATAAAAATTAATTTCTATAAACGATTTCAAAACATTTCCCTGTTAATAAAACTGTTATAACAGCACATACTTTTACATCTTATTTGTAATAAATATACATCTCTATAATATTGCAACTTGGATTCTACTATACTTCAGCCATCTAATTAAAAATTCTTCATAACAGTATACATATCATACAGTAGCGGAGCATGTGCCCAATGACGTGGTCAGCGACTCCAGCGTTCCGCGCAGCGACAAAGGAACCCTCTGCTGCCTTTACATTCGTAGTAGAGTATCGTTCTGCTAATCTGACCAAGAAATGAACTTAATATTAATTCCAATATAACTAAAACAACATGTGAAGTAGAAGTGTTGAACAACTTTTAAGGACAGAAATAATTTAAATCTAATGAATGTTGTCAATTGGAAGTGAATAGTGGAATCATGAGGAACAAGTAGTATTTCATTACGTTTCATAAAAGTACCTAGAAATGTAAGTAATTTAAGTAGTAAAGAAGGGTATTTAGGAGGTAATAATATTTCGGTTGTGCTTTACAACAACTTTTCGTTTTTCTGGTCTACGTCTTTTGAACAAGTAAAATTACATAACTCAAGGCTCGTTCCTTTATTATTGGTACATTTACTTGCAGAACAGTGCGCCCCTTTCGACATGCACATAGTTATTAATGTGCAAACTAAAAAGTATAAGAATTTAGTTGGTACATATCAAATATGTCCCTATACATGTCAAATGTACGGTTAAAACTTTGGTTGTGAGTAATTTTATATGTTATTTAGTGACTTTGAAATCCTAGGAATATAAAACCACGAGGTCAAGAAACAAGAAATGCGTTTTAGCCAGCTGTTAATAAAAGCAATTTCACTAACAAATCCTACTATATATATTTATGTGTAAAGTTATTCAATTTTCGGAAATTTATATGACTGTCAATTATTAATTTATTGAAATTGCTAATTAATATATATTGTAATAAATAATAGTATAATTGTATTTACTGTACTTGGAGTGCAACCAGTATTTCAAATACGTATGTATTTAGCAAATCAAAACCTCTTGTGTTTTGAGTATTATTTAAATACTAAATCTAAAACTAATTTGTTTTTCAACCTTCTGTAGGAGTATGAAAAATCAAATTATTTGCTATCAGGGCCCCTAGAAATGAGTTTTGTCTGTCGAAAAATTGGAACTTTTCCCAAAATCATTAGAACTCTTTATTTAGTAACGTTCAAAAACGTTAAAAAAATGTTTCCGTTATCAGGGACCCCGCGAATTACATTCAAAATTTGTAAGTAGATATTCTGCAGCTTTACATTACTTTCTTTATACTACGTACATGAAAAAATAGAAGCGTACGAGGAACTTGGGAATGTAGTACTTCTTTTTCTCAGAACATTTTTGAATCAGAGAGCAAAAATATAACATATAAAATTCATTCGTGATTTTAACAATCCGGCAGTATTTATTCATTGATTTCTGATCAAGATAAAAAGTAACAATAAGGCAACCATACAACCAGATCTCTGAAAACAGGGCTCCAACAACTACGCGTATGTGTTATAAACATAAAAAAGAACGTAATAAATATGTCTCCCTTTATCCAGAGCGCCTAATCAATCTCATTTATGATTAGGTCAGGAGGGAATCGCGTCTTAATGGATATGGCATATCACTACAAACATCCCACAAATCAGAGAGAATCATTCCTCTTGGGAAAGGGAGATGGAAATGTTCGCGTGCTGATCCACGCTCACTTAGAAAATACTTCTGATATTTCCCAAAGGAGGGAGTAGGAGAATAGGGAGGAGAACAATGCAAAACCCGTGACTACCTATTTGTGTAGAAATAAAACAGCACGTACTCTCTCGCCCGCAGTTTCAAGCAAAATTACGCGAAAAGTAATCTAATTTTCGAAAAAGTGTACATGACCTCTAGATGTACCCGATCTATGTATTTAAAGAAGACGAAAAATTTTGAATTTTTGCAATTTTCGAAAAACTAGAGTTTTCAACAAAAATGCGACCTGCACCATTCTCTTAAACGCCCTACATACTATCCAATAACAAATTTAATAAAAAACAATGGCGCTAATTTTTTGAAAAATTTGAAAAAGACCCACAGGCTTCATGAAAAGTACCCCCCAAATTAAAATACATGTTTCAAATTCGAGCGGCATCAGTCAAATCGATTAGGGAATATCAATTTTGAACAAAACTGGCTAAATGGTTTAGCAGCTAGCGTTTTCCACAGACGTACAGATGGACGCGCGGACGGACAGGCGTTTTGCCGTTATTCTATTGTTTGGAATCAAGAACACACAAAACATGGATTCTGGCGTGGAGATCCACGTGTTAGGGGATTTTTTTTCTAAATTCAGCAACTGGATTTATTCACTTTTTCGTCACCAGGGTCCGACAAAAAGATATTTCTGTCGAAAATTAACCGTTTTTTCGGGCAGTACTATATAACTTTGTACTACGTAAGCGGTGGCGAGAAAGAAAAACGGTTGCCACTGCAGTGACTCTGACCGGCAGGTCCCAGAGTTAAGAGTCTCGACGATGGCGGATTTTCAACTCTAGCTAGAGAGCTAGGTCAAATTCATCATCTATCTGGAAGAGTATATGAACGGCCGGCTGCTCTGATCGTTGGTTTACCGTTTCTTCTACGAGGAATACCAGGCGAATGGGTAAGCAATGCTGTAACAAACGGGCCATGGACTGCGCGCGACCTTGCCTTTCTCTCCTTATTCTCATCCTCTCCCTTACGACTCTTCTCGATCATACATGTCTGGAACTTAGAGCATATCCCGACAGAGGCGTTGCATCGCAGGCATAGGTACTCCGATGGAGGGAAACCCGTGAGCCTGTGTAGGTCGGTGCCGGATCTCACATTGTATTGGGGGCGGAACACTCGCGGTATATCAAGCAGTACACACGTGGAACTCATGATCGTACCAACTTGCGCGCCTTAAAATAGAATAATCCATCAATCAATTTGCAAAAAGGGTAAAATGTCAGAATACAGTTTTCGAAAGAAAATTTAAGATAGATTTATCGACACTGGGATATAATTAACAATTGTGTCTTGCGTTTAATTCACATATTTTTAAAATATGCGTAAGTATCCTTAACACACATCTTTGGATCAGGATACTTCAGATTTCCCAGCAATGCCCTGTCCTTCCTGACACCTCGCAAGTCTCCATATTTCGGGGATTTCGGGGTCAATGGGCGGTCCCCATTACTGTGCACTGTCCATTCTATTAGCGACGACTTCGGATTCACCCTCTCATTGGCTTTCGAAAGTAGTCCATAGACTCATCCTCATCCCCGTCTCTTTTCGTGAACGAAGGGAGCTGACGAGGTAAACCCTGGAGCCTATTTCAGCAAACCCCAATATGTGGTGGTTGGTATCAGTCTTGAGATGAAGGAACCACGCTTGTAGGGTGACGTACGGTGGTTGCGTCTGCCGTATCTTGCCACATCACAAGACAAACCGAACGCGAGTATGTAACACGTGCACGTGCCTCAGACGTGAGCCCCCGCGCCACCCGGACGGTCCAGCAGAGAAAAGATACTGTTGGAAAGTTGATACGAGCATACGGAAGGCGAAAATCCAATAATGTCAGAGCATTCTGATAAACAAAGCCTACGCGGAACTCGTCCTCGCGACTGCACTACGGCATTCGACTTCCGGGCCGGCTAGTGTATATCAATCCCGAAATACACCTATCTGGGTTATTGGACAGTACCTTCGGAAAAAAAAACAGTGCTTGTCAGATGTGAAGTTTACATGAACACTGTTTTTCTTTAAAACAAAAATTAACAATTAAGATAATGAGAATTTCAGCAAATAATACTTAAGTAAGCTCTCGCGGTTTAGCTCATTTGTCAGCGTGGATAATAAACAAAAATTATCAAATATTGAAGTTCTTATCCTTCCCGAGATCTCAAAGTAACAAAGAATCAAATGAGTAATGTCGCAGCATTGAGGGTGCTTGGTTATCGTCCAATTTAACTTATTACTGAAAGTATATAGTTAGATAAATACAGTTTATTCCATTTAATAATGTCTTCGCCATCCAGTAACATTAGCAACATTTTCTTCTGTATGTGAAACACAACAATTCCGCCAAACTTCTAACATTGAAAATGCAATATACTACACAAAAGTTAAATATATAAAAAATTTCTAATAATTAGCAAGATCTAAATGTGTGCTCATCTACGAATATCTCGAAAAGCCCACCCCTCGTGGATGACAGTTCTTGTATGCGTATGTTCTGTATGAAAGACGATTTCGCCAACTAAACCCGGTAAACGTGGTAAAAAAATCGTCTTGAAATGGCCCCCAGAACTCCCCCTCCCCCCGCCTCACCAATTGGTTACAAATTCTTCGCAGAAGTGCCTGGTGCAGCAGAACTGCTTTGTATACATCGTTACTCGTTTCTTTTTATTTTTTTACTAAAACAGAAAATCCCCCGGGCAAAGTAGTACGTCACGTTACTTTTGATTAATAGTTAAAGACCTCAAATGAAAGACCGACTCTCCTATATAGGATTTCCTGCGGGGGCAACGTTCGGTGGCATTTAAAAGCTAACATTTCAGGTAGCTCGCCCGCAAAAGTCGCAAGACGTCGACCGCGCGGCTCCGCGAGCGTCAAAGGCGCGCGGGCGAGGGCGAGGGCGAGGGGCAAGGGCGCTCTTACTCGCACCGGCGTTGACGCGGGATCGATGTGGAATGCCGCGCTTTTGACTTTTAAAGCTGTGTCTTGATGAATGTGTCGCCAGGTAGGGAAAGGGCATCCGACTAATGCTAGCGCGTTAAAGCACAGAGCTTTGAAAAGAAAGCGGGTCGGCGCACTACAAACCCGAGGAAAGAACCGACGGGAACGAAACGATATAAAGAGTAGGCGTAAGAGGGGGAAAACGGCGAGAGAAAGGTGGAAAAATGGAAGCCTGAGGTAGCGGGACGGTTGGAAAATTATTGTTGAGAGAAAGAGAGAATGTAGGGTATGATCGGTAAAGGACGGCGGAAACGATATAAAGAGAAGTAAGAGAGGAAAACTGAGGACAAAGGAAGCAGGAATTAGGGGCCTGAGGTAAAGAAGCAGTTGGCAACTATTTTAAAGGGAAATAAAGCATTAGATATTTATGATTGTGGTTTTAGGACTCTTCAACTGCTATGATCATTGGCGCCCTGGAATGGGAAAGTAAAGGGACGGTAAGATTATGCACAGTCCGTGACCCGAGGTATAAGAGAAATTACAATACCAAGGGACCGCTTTCACAGCTACTGCTTGGCCTCAGCTGCCAATAAAACTGAAGTTAGGTTCATGCACTCATTTTGTTATAGCGTTCTTTACAATTGGCTCATTTGTTCGTAGAAAATAGCTTCATCGCTATCTCTTGCAATAGCATCGCTCTGCATGACGTTCATTTGTTTTCCGTTCTGTCAAAGTCGTTCCTTCTTAGTGTAACGATGTGCTGCTTTGGCGTACGACTGGAAGTGGTCGAGAAAACCACGGAAACCACTGATCGTAACAGCGGGCCTACGAATTCGATTTCAGCAGGTGTCACGAGCCGATGTTAAACACATCAAATTTCCGGCACCCTGCCGGGATCAAAACCGCGACCTCTCAATAGCTCTACCGTAAAACCGGCTGAGTGTAGTTCAGAGCCAGTATTGCCGCTGTCTCAGCCGCGACTGTGGTCGGAAGGTCCTTGGATTCGGGTGCCAAAGATGGCCGATTTTCAACACCAGCTAGATAGCTAGATTCACCCGAGCCGCACTCTATATGTGAAGTCTAGAAGTCGCCTAGTTTTCGAAATAATATTTCCTCCGAAATTAAAATTTCCCGATCCATCTGGGTGAACTCAAGGTCCTTCGAGTTTGAAACGGGTATTTTGATTCTTTAGGGTCCATTACATAAAGTCTCAATTTTTTCAAAGATGTCTCAAATATGGCTCCTAATTTTCTCATTAAACTTTTTCGTCGGATAGTTCTCCCGATAAACTTTGTCCTCGCATATCGTAATAGACGCATAAAAAAATGTCGCATATCATAACATTTTTGTGTAAATCTGAATTTTCGAAAATTTAAATGTTCACAATTTTCCTATAGGACAATATTGATGAAAGAGATTTTTTCATTAATGAAATATATTCTTCTAAGACACCTTGAAATTAGGTTTTGTACAATTTTTGCATAATTGTGCGTGAAATATATGCAATTTAAATAATTATTTTCTCGAAACGGCTCCAAATTTTCATTAGCATTAGGCAGGTATTAGACAGTAAAAAATTGGTGCTGGTCTTATTTTCAATAAACTTTATTTCCGAAAATTGCAAAAAAATTGGCATTGATAAAATACAATACTGCTGAAAGATTGTTTTTTAAATGCCACGTGTTTTCAAACACAGAAGTTTTTAAGAGATCAAACAATTAAAAAAGTTTTGTCGTAATGCCTTTTATAAAAAATTCTCAAACTTGTCTCCAAATGTTTTCTTTAATTTTCGGAAAGAGTAAAGAACGCTTAGAAATTTCACAGGTCTCAGTTTTGTTAAACTTTTTGAATGTTCGAAAACTAAAAAAGTTAGAAATAATGAGGGAACTAATATGCTATTGTAACACCAATAGTTTAGCAATATACAGCTGTTAAAAGGAAACGTAGAAAATAAGTGTATGTCGGGTTAACAGGTAAATGGTTAAAAAGTCACAAAAACGGATGCAAAATCATAGTATGCATTTTTTGTAGAGTAAGGAGTATACACAGATGGTAAATGAAGAAAGTATTTTTCTTAAAAATTCGGGATACTATTCGAGGAAAGAAATAAATAAAAATTAAATTGAAAGTTAAAGAAATTGTGAAATTGAATATGAATTAAGACTTAAAACAATTAATGTGATTCAATTATTGTGAATGTGCAGTTTACATACATTCTTGGTGACATAACATTGCGTTTTGATATTTCTGGATACACCCGACAATTCCCGGTTTACGTACACTATTCTTGAAGTTACGTACACACATTTTCCTACCACAATTTGTAGTTATTTTAAAATCCTACAATACAATACAAGATAACACTTGAAAGAATACTTACATATTCAGATATTTGTTTATTCTTAAGGATAAGTAGAATTACGAAGTGTGAAATCAAGGAACAAAATCTTAATTGTTTATATTTGTACTTTCCATGAGCTTAAACAAGAATGTTGTCGCGTTAAAGTGCCATGAAATATTGCCTGCGGTTATTATCAATAAGGAACATTACAAGGTATGAACGTATGACGTCAACATGAATAAAGGAAGCTCTTTCACATTTATTCGCACTTCTCTGTATACCTAACTCTCTTACCATTTTTATGCATTTTAACACATCACGGTGAAGTGTAAAATGTTACCAAGTAAGTCCCATGTACATTTTACAGATGCATTTCATTTATTACGTGATGTTGGTTCTCAGCCAAGTTCCAGAATAAATATAAAAAGGTAAGCGATAATCAGACACGTAGATGAGACCGGTGTCATCTATTCATACCCAGAAATGTAATTAAGAATATTATCATAGATAACGTACCTACAGCAATGCCTCCTCCATTTCTTTTCGAATAATACTTCTCTCAGAACAGCCAGCTCTTAGAGTATCTAAGTCATGGGTTCCCAAACTTTCTGTTTGTTTGTTTTGTTCCGAGCCTTTTTAAAACAGTGGTTCGCTTCATCGATCCCCTTCAATTTTTTACTTACAAAATTAAACACGTTTTCAAAAACAAATCACAGATTACTATTTCGCTAGTTTTATTTTTTACTGTCAATGATGCCAAATTTCGAAAGATGAGCAAATTAGTATTTCATTATTAGGTGTTTTGTAGATTTATGAGTAAAATAATAATACATTTCATAAATACTTTTGTAATGAAAGGGACTTTCATCTTTCTTATAGCAATCAGTCGTCTATGCGTTTTTCGATATCGACCCCCAATCGACCACTTGATCATCATCGCCCCCCCCCCGGGGAGTAGGTACAGACTCCGTTAGGAACCCCTGATGTAAATTCTTTTCTAAAACCATTCAACATCTGCAAACCTTCATTTCGCAGACAGCTAATCTTAATGTTTTTTGTTTTTTAAACAAAAGTTCGAAAGTATTTTAAACAATTGCATAAAACAACTCGCCGTTATTGCCTATAGACTTTCTTTTGCCTTTATCACGCTTAATGTCACCTTAATTTAAACAGTTTAAAGTTTAAAATTGAACGCCACGATGACACAATGTTCGGTACGGTTCAATCAGAATTATTCCGCGAATATGAATAATGCATCTTCAGTAGTGAAACAAAATATACGTCAAAATTTGTGGTGAATGTTGCAAATTCGTGTCTGAAGGCAAAATAACACCCCGGCTGTTTCATAACAAAAACGTTTCGGCTCTTCTCTCCGCGACAATTGCGTTATGAACGATTGTCAAGTCACACAAAATAAATAGAGCGCTGTGCGCGCTTGTGAGATGCTGAAATGCACGACTACGAAGATATGAGGTTCACTGACATTCAATATACTTGTACATGAAGAATCGTGGGGGTAGGTCAAAAAACAGACTTATTGATCAACTCACGATTCTCCACATATATTTCTCGAGTCTGTCCATGACCGTCGCGGTGTAAGCATCGTCCCTCGGCGCTCCTAGCTAAGCAGCAGGTAGTTTCATTCGCAGTAGTCACGCGTTACAGCTTTCCACACTCAGCGACGCTTGTACGCTGTAGAAGCCGTACAAAGATAAGTATATTTGCCTTAACTCTGCCGCTCAGTGATAACTGTATTAATCTCTATCTTCTAGAATAATTCGTATTTCTTATATTTAAGATCTGCCTATTGCTGCTATTCCACTCCCTTGTCCATGTTTCTTCGCAAAGCAT